GTTGTAACTTTACCATTAGGGTTCGGTGCCTTTACCGCCCCTAAATGTTCATCTATAATAATTGTTGTTAACAATTCTATGTTTTACCTAATTGACTCTATGTGCCAGGTATCAATTACGTAAGTTGTTTGTCATGCTTTAATTTTAAGAAATTTTAATTCGTATTTATTAGGCGGAAAACGCATAGCCGAATTTTTTAATAAATATTTTCAATTTTTTACAAACTTTTATACCTTTTACACTTTAATTTTACCAATATTTAAGTACGGCCCAGAACAGCTCCCTACTCTCCACCCAGTTTTTGGTTTTGACAAAATTCCCGCAGTGGCAAATGCTTTCTATGTTACCTCCACCCTTTCTAATTTTTCCAATTTGACGTTGAATCAGTAAAGACATCAGTAAAGACTTACACATCTAGTTAATATTTTAATTTGTGCCTTTACTGTATAAAATATTTAACTAGGTATTCAAAATACTAAAAAAATGCTAAATTTAGTTATGAAAAGCTCGTAGAGTAACATTTATATGAATTTACATTAAAAATTTATTTATTTCACTTTTATATACATTCACAAAAATGTAGTGTTTGAAATAATAATTAACATACTGGACTATTTTATAATAAATTAATGTTTTAATAAATATTTGATTAAACAATAAAGAGTTTTTAATTTACTAAATAGAAATTTTCAATTAATTATTTTGAACAAAAATGCATGTTAATATTTACGTTATAGTCACATTGTTTAATGTAATTTAATTATTAAATATTGCAATGTTATTCAAATAATTGATGAACACCTATATTAAGCTTGGTATATAGCTTTAGCACATTTTTATACGCATATTTCTATTTTTTTGTTTACATACAAAAATAAATATTTTTACTTTCTGTTTATTGATTTTGAATGGTTGAAGTGAATTTTTATTGATCGAGGTATAATAAGGTATGACAAAGATACGAAATACTATAATGATAATGTGCAATCAGTCCGATCCTGTTCTTTAATAACTTTATTTCTTCTATCTTCTTTTTCTGTCTCTTTTATTTTACTCAATGGAAAACAATATTTTCTCCTCAACTGAAGATGTCTTTTGAAATATCTTAAAAAAAACAAAATTTCTTCTAAGGAAGAAATATCACACAAAAAAGAAATTTTGCTTTCTAAGTAGAAGAA